GGCGCTTATGTGTACCAGGCTTCGGGCTCAGGGTTTCACAAGCAGGATTTCAGCAAATTTTCACACCCACCGTAGGGGGCAGGGGTGCCATTATCCTCTCTATGTACAGCTGAGGAGATTGAGATTCAGAGAGGCTGAGTGACTTACTCAAGGTCACAAAGCCCGCTAATTGGCGAAGCCAGGCAGAATTCAAACCCAGAACTGTCAGATGCCAGACTGTGCATGCTTAACCACGTCACGATTCTGGTACCCCGAGATATTCCACGTGCTTCCTTCTCTTCTCCCACCCTGCCTCCCCTGGTGCAGTTTCTGAGCAATGCAGGGGCCAGGGAGGGCATATCCTCCTGACCTCGAGAAAGCGGCCACCATAGAGCATCCCCACCTGCCTTTCCATTGGCCAGTCCAGCCTGGCCTGGAGGTCATGCCTGCTCCTCAACTGAGTTATTCTGCACTTGGTGTTAGAAAGGATGTAAACAGAGCAGATGCGTCTACATTTCCCCGTGTTGATACGAAGCTGTGTGGAAACCACTGAGGGGCAGGGAGGCACGCACAGAGGTTAAGCCCCAAGGAGCCAGAGCCGTATTTCCAAGGTCTGACTCTCCACCTGGCCCCTTACTAGCAGGAGACCTTGGGCAAGAAGCTTAACTTCTCCCTGCCTCCGTTTCCCCAGCTATAAACGGAGATAATAGACGTCATTGCACAGGGCCGCTGTGAGGATAGGATGCAAAGAGTTAGCGCCTGAAGCCACACTGAGCTGGGCATGGAAGGAGGGGCATGCCAGGTGTCCTCTCCCCGGCTGCAGCCTGACCCCTTTCAGTGCTGGGCGTGTGAGCCAGCGCCCTCTTTGACCCGCTGGCCTCTCCTACTCCTGCGAGGCCCTCTACCAACACCTGGTGCTTGAGCTCCTGCAGGGGTCCTCCTGCCGGAAGTCCTCCTGACCTGGCAAGCTGACAAAGCGCCAGTCAGGCCATGGTCAGAGGGCGTGTGCCCTGTGCCGTCCCCCAAAGGGAGCATGTCTTCTCTGTGGTCGTGCCCAGCTCCAGGGTGGGCTGACTGGGGGAGGGGAATGTTTAGGGAGCTTTCGCTGGGTGCCTGGTTTTCTTCCTCACAACAAAGATGCAAGGTCGCTGTTAGTTACCATGGTCCACAATGAGGACGCTGAGCCTTGGAGAGGCCTCCCCAGGTATCAGATTTCACGCCAGTCTCCTCAGGAGCAGAAGTTTGGGCGATCAGAGAAGTGCATGGCAAAGCGTGTAACGCTGGCTGAGCACAGCCCTCAGAAGGACTTTTGGAGCTGACCTGACACCTAGTGGCCACAAGTGGGAATTACTCCACCACTGGGAAGGCTCCAGGGCTGTTGCAGGCAGGTTTGGGGCTTGGCGGTCCTTCACTTACTAGGTGATGACAGTGTCTGTGGGTGGTCTGGGGGGTGGGGATGGGGGTGGGGGTCAGGGTTGGCGCGGGGGTAGATTTCCGCTTTCCTGTATCTCCATCATTCTCCAATAGCTACCCAAGCAGATAATAACATTTGGTCAAAAAAATTGCTGCCTTTTCATTTTTATGCAAAAGATAAATAAAAGCATCTTGAGAAAACGGTGTTTTTTACTGATCTATAACCCACAGCTGCTAACACATTTTGACACTTTATGGCCTCGTTGTCCTCAGGGTTCTACCCAGACACCAGCAGTGACTGGACGCTCACTCACAGGCAGGGGACTTGGTGGAGAATTTTATGGATCATAACAGACTTAAGAGACATGGTCCCTGGCTTCAAGTGGATTTGTTTTATCTGGGGAGTTGGAGCAAAGACATCTACAGGTCCTGCTGGGTATGGTGGGTGCGAGTTTCAGCCCACGACCTCCTTGTTGTACTTCTTTCTTTTCTTTTCATCCTCCTAATTTCGACTCGGAGCCCCTATAGTATAGTGGTCGGCAAACTCGTTAGTCAACAGAGCCAAATATCAACAGTACTTCTTCAAAATAGACTCGCCCAGGCCAAAAACCGACTTCTGCACATGGGCCACGAAGTTTCAATCGCACTGTACGTGCGCCCACACGTGGTATTTTGTGGAAGAGCCACACTCAAGGGGCCAAAAAGCCGCATGTGGCTTGCGAGCCGCAGTTTGCCGACCACGGCCCTGTACCATCAACTTCAGGGGAAGACTTTGAATAAGGATGGGAAAGTGGAAAACATGCTGTGGGAAGGGGGACATCCATCGTTTCGTCATGATTCTGCCACAGATGTGGAGAGGCCTGGGCATCACCCCCCCCCCACCCCCACCCTGCAGCAGAGTGACACCCGCGGCTGGGGCTTTTCCTGGGTGCCGCCCGGCACACCTCTGCTGCTCTGAAGTGCCAGCTCCTGGACACCCGCGACTTCCCCAGTTTCCCACCGCTCGCCCGAAACAATTGCCAGATGAATGTGTCTGTTCACTCCACGGGTATTTATTGAGCATCTACTATCTGCCAGGCACCATGCGGTGCTACAGGGATGTCAGAGACAGTCCCTGCCGTTCTTCATCCGCAAAGGTAACTGATGAGGTTAACCGAGACCCTTTAAGTTCCCCCCCACCCCCCGCCTCCCCTGCTCGGCGTGTGCTGTACTTGGCTATTTTGCTCAGCTCCTCATGTCTCCCCGGTTTCCTGAAAAACGTGGAGTGGGAGGTCCCTACAACCGGTTGCAGCTGTCTCACTTCGCAGGTGGAACCGTGAGGCTCCGAGGCCAGGTGCCGGTAGTGCCGGGCCTCACCGAGGAGCCAGGTCTCTCCGCCTCCCAGCCTGGCTTCCTACACGTGACCCCTCGGCGTGTGCTCCTGAAGGCCCCTGTCCGCATCTCCTGGGCGTCTGTTCCCTCTGCCATTGCTTCCCGCACCTCGAAATCTCTCCCCTCGACACAGTTCACAATGACTATGGCCACATGACGTCTCTATGCATTGGCCTCCTCCCCACGGCTCTTTCCCTGCCGCCTAGCAACCCCACTGCATCCCCAATGTGTCTTCCTGGTTCTTAAAGAGGCCCTCAAGGACACGCTCCCCAAAACCAGAGGGCGCTCCCCTGGGAAGGGCGCACTAGCAGCAGCCCAGAGACGCCGAGATCAAGCCAGACTTTATTGGCTCTCTCCCGGTCCTGGCCTCGGTGTTTGTCCACTGCAGTCTCAGCCAGCTCTCCTCCTCCTCCTCGCCACTGGCCGATTTGCCAGGACTTCTCTGTCACAGAAACTTCTTTCCAGGACAGACTTGTTGCTATGGCCTCACCACTTCCAAGACACTGGTTTGAAAGGTAAGGGGATAATGTTGCGCCAAAGCAGCCTCCCGGCTGATGGAGAGAACGTTTAGGCTCAGCTCCAAGCGAGACCACTGGGAACCATCTCTCGGCCTGGCAGAGCACTGCACATGGGTGAGGTTTGGTGTGGGCACCGGGGAGGAGCAGAGAGCTGGGTTCCGTTGTTGGCCAGGGTTTGGCAGTAGGTTGAAGTTTAGAATGTGCACACCCTGCCCTGGCTGATGTGGTTAAGTGGTTAGAGCATTGGCCTGCACACCAAAGGCTCACAGGTTCGATTCCCGGTCAAGGGCATGTGCCTGGGTTGCAAGTTCAATGCCTGGCCCCAGTCGGGGTGGTGCAGGAGGCTGGCAACCAATTGAGGTGTCTCTCTCACATTGATGTTTCTCTCTCTCTCTCTCTCTCTCTCTCTCCCTCCCTCCCTCCCTCCCTTCCACTCTCTCTAAAAACCAATGGAAAAATTATCTCGGGTAAGGATGAACAATAACTGCAATAAAGAATGTGCACACCCTTTGGCCAGCAATCACACCAGGTCTGCACCACCGAGCGTGTGTCTGAGAACACACGTGTGCGAACACTGCCTACAAAAGGACATTGGTGACAGTATCACCGTAGTCACAACACAGAAAATAAATGCCATCGTCACTAGCACGGGGGTGCGTGGGAATTCAGGCACCTGTGCCTGTTTGGTGACTGGCAGAGGCTGGCACCTGGTCGGACTCACGGGTGTCGGTTATCATTATTACTGTTGTCACAGCCCTTTCCTATCTCTTCAAGGACTCCCGCCTGAGTCACAACCTGCGTCACTCCCTAAGCCACAGCATGGGACGGCCCGCAGTTCCCCTGCCCGGCTCACACTCCAGTGCGTGGACCTGACGTCCCTCTGCCCTCTCGTCTATGTCCGTGTGACACTCCCTCACCATGCCAGGGCCTAATCACTGCTCCCTTGTGTCACCTCCTATCTGCTGTGAGCGCTGTGTCCCCAGAATCAGGCTTGCAGCCTGCCGTGTGCAGTTGAGCCCGAAGCTTGGCCAAGGGAGCCAGCGGAAGATGAGAAGGAGGGTACCCAGGGGGCAGCCGTGGGGGAGGGGGCAAAGGCAGCCTGCTATGCAGGGGAGACCAGACCTAATGCCATGCAGATGGGGTGGCCCCTGGTGCTCAGGGGTGCCTTCTAGAGCAGCGGTCGCCAACCTTTCGGACCTCACGGACCACCAATGGTCTGCGGACCACCGGCTGGAGACTGCCGTTCTAGAGAGCCGAGGGCCACCTGGGGCAGAGGCTGGGTGGGGCCCGCCACGGGCCTGTGCTGACCTGAAGTTCACGTTGCCATTCTTGTCATCCAGCCGCTTGATCAGCTCCCTGATTTGGAACCGGTTTAGGGGGATCTTGTTTTGCTGAGGAAGTGGGTGGAACATGTGAGGTTAATGGAGCTCTCAGCTTACCTGCTCTCCAGCCCCCTACATACATGCATGTGCACACACATGCACATGCACACATGTGCAGGCACACACACACAGTGCCCAGGGGCACACGGATAAGCGCACCTGTATCATGGCTTTCAAGAACTCGCTCACAGGCATCTTCATCATCCCAGTAGGGGTCAAGCTCTTGAAGAAGTCCAGGACCTTGATCTTGTTCTGGTCGGCATAGCTCTGAGGGAGGGAGACACCAGGAGCGGATGCTTGCCCATGTAACATCTCTAACAACTCCCCCTCCCCACCCAGACCCAGCAGGCCACAGGGGCGTGTGACGAGGCAGTCCCAGGAGCTAGAGTCTCCCGCATGTGCGTCATTTAAGACCAAGAGTCCTGTCTGCACAGGGCACCGAAGGAATGGGGCAGTGACTGTGTTCATGTGCATTATTTAGTTCTGAAGTTGCCTCTGCTGAGACTCGTGTAGATGGTGCACTGTGGGCAGTGGGCGAGCTGGTGTTGGCTTAGAGTCCAGAAGCCAACCACAGCCACGCTGTGTGACAGGCAGGTCTGATTCTCAGAATTCACTTAATTCTCATCATTTCACACAGATGCTTACACTGTGTTAGAGTATTTTAAAAATAATGTTTCATTTAAAAAAATATTAGCCACTCACATTGTAAGGTGATTTTAGATTAGTAGAAAGAAGAAAATAAAAAATAAGCCATAAATCCAATCCCACTATCCAGAGGTAACATCTTGATGTGTATCCTTTCACCTGTCTGTCTGTCTGTCTGTCTGTCTATCTATCTATCTATCTACCATCCACCCAGCCACCCATCGTTTTTCTACTGTACATACTGGTTTATAAAATGCACTGTGCCAATACACTGTGAACACCCTTTCAATATCATTAAAATATTCTTTTGGGGTCCTTGTTTAGTATCTTTGCTCACCTGAATCCTCGATCATCAAGGCCCTTCCCAACCCTATCTCTGCCAGGAAGCATCCTTTTCTGTTTGCCAACCCTACATGCCCTCTAATCTGGGCTCTGATTATCTTTGCTGCTTGCTGCTTTGCCACTTATTTATTATCTATAATAATAAAAGCGTAATAAGCGAATTAGACCAGACATCCTTCAGGACGTCCTTCCAGACGACCTTCCAGACGAAGCCGGGGGTGTGAGGGAAGCCGGGGTCCCAGGTTCCAGAGGGAAGCCAGTGCTGGCATCCGGGGGAAGGAAGGCCTACTCTTGCATGAATTTCATGCATCGGGCCTCTAGTCTACCATCTGACCCTTTCTATTAGCAGTTACTGTATCTGTCCCATTTTCCAAACCCGCTTGTTGGCCCCTGAGGGAAAGGACTGCATTTCACGCTGCGTGTGGGGCTTGGTCTTGACTAGATTCCTTCTCTGTGCTGTTGGAAACAAGGGGCAGGCCCTCACTTTGCATCAGATAACGCCATTCCTGCACACTGGACATCCTGCTTCCCTTGCAAAACAGGTTTCCCCTCGGTGCCACCCGCGGTCCTCTGACCTAGAAAGATACTTGATAGCCCTTTGCCTTTTAGAACTTTGGGGTGACAGCCAGCGGTGGACAACCAGGCCTGGGGCTGGATGCTGCTCTGAGGGGGTCAGACCTGAGGAGCTCTAATACCCCCAATGGCTCTAATAGTCTAATACCCCCTAGTAGCTCTAGCAGGCTCTGATTTTTTATTTTCACTGTTACATCTGCCTCTTGTGATTGCCAGAGATGATCTAAGACTCAAGCCAGGTTACCACTAGATGTAAAGGCCTTGAGGGTCCCTCTTTAGCTGAAGCCACCACATGGCTGCCCTGACCACAGGGGTCTTGGCTTTCTTACCAGCTGTTGGAAAGAGCCCACATTTACTGGGTGCTTATTATATGCCAGGCATCGTTCTAAACACTTCATGCAGATTCTAGAATTTAATCTTCACAGCATCCCTTCGAGAGTGTGTGCTTTCGTTGTGCCCATTTTACAGGTGAAGAGATTGAGGCACAGAAAGCTTCAGTGACCTGCCTTTGGCCCTACAACAGCCAGGGGAGGAGCCTGGCTGGTAGAAACCACCCTGTTCCACGCCCCTCCCACTTGAGCCAGTTCTCAGCTGTCCCCTCCTGCGGAGGGCTCTGGAAATCCACAGGGAATATTCCTCCTCTGAGGGTCCTTGTCAGAGAGGATTGTGCAGACGCCTTGGGGGAGGGGAGACTCTGTAGCTGACTGGGGCCAGAGGACAGCTCTCTGCGGGGGTCCCAGTGGGGCCGAGAGGAAAGCAGGGGCTCACCTGGATCAGTTTCATGGGGTTTGGATACTGGATGATGGATTTCTTGGCAGAGAGGCCTTGGATTGCCTTGTAGACCACGTCCAGCTGGGGGTGGACGGCATACACCCCATCTAAGAATTTCACAAATTGCTCGGACACCATCACATGCTGAGGCAAGGAGAGAGGGGACCCATCGTGGGGAGGGGGCCGCCACTGCGCCATCCTCCTGCCCAGACCAGTGTCCCACCCAAGCCAGCCAGAGGGCCGGCCGAGTCTCTTCCAGTTCGTCCCGCAATGCAGCTCCTAGAGGGGGTGGTTCACGTTGTTTAGAGCTTGTGGTTTAACTCGTGCGATTCCTGCATGATGGATTGGATGTTCTGTCTGTGTGCTGGGGGCTCACCACACAGGGTCATCTCAACGCTCTCAGACGGCAAGCCTAACCGTCCACGTGTGGCGATGGGGCTGCAGACGGGCCCATCCCTGTGCCAGTGCTGGTCTTCAGAGCAGATGCCCTGGAAGAGGACCCCTCATGCCCACCACCTGGGCCCGGCTCAGCCCACACTGGGAACTCCTCGGAGGAAGTCCCCGAGACCCGGGGTTACAGGCCGCAGGAGGAGCTGTGTTTCCATGAAATAGCGTTGGAGCAAACCTGGCCCCCTGGGGGAAGATTAACCCGCTTCATTCCTCAGGTTGGTTCTGAGTATCCTCCTGCCTTTCAAAAGCCTTAATCCCTGCTTAAAGGGCTGAAGACTTCTCCTTAGGTTTTTCTAGAGGAAAATTCCTTCTAGAAGCATCACCAGTGAATTTCCAACCCCCCCAGAGTTATTATGGCAGCATAGGTGATGACTGCGGAAGAGAAACGCTAATTCAGCCCTACTGTTCCTGGTAGGATTGTGGGGTTTTGGTTTGTTTTTGTTTTTGTTTTTTTAGTAAAGCAAGCTAGAATTTATTGACACAGCACCCCCCCAAAACAACAACAACAACAAAAACTCCCCCCCAAAACCACTGAGGACAGTGAAATAAAGAAGGGCCTGGGAGAAGCTACAGGAGAGCCTAGGCTGGCTGCTTCGGCTCACCGGGAAGTCAGAGAAAAGGGGGCCTTGGAGACAAGTTCGGGGGGAGCCTGGATGAGCTGCCGCTGCCCATTGCTGCCCTGGTTGCAAGTCTCATGGGGTTCCTTGAGGTCCCTGGGGTTTAGGAGATGCGTGTCTGGGGAGGGGGGGGAGGGGGAGGGAGAGAGGGAAGGGAATGGCACAGGTGTGCTCCCTCCTGGGAGGCTTGTTTAGTGGCAAAGTGATCCGAGTTCAAACAGCACCATGTCTGACATTCCCTCAGACACACCAAGGCCGGGCCTGGCTCCACCCCCTCCAACCAGCTCTGTGGGAGGGAAAACCAAATATCCACAAAATCTGGACCCGTGGCTGGGACTCAGAGGCAGGGCGGAGTGGGCGCAAGGTCAGAGCTGTGGGGTGAGGGTGGAGAGCAGGCCTCCGAGGAGAAAGGGGTGAGGGAACAGAGCACAGGAGCCTGGGGCAGGAGGCAGGGGTGAGGAAAAGAGAAAGAAAGTAGAGATGTGTTTACAGTGTTTCATAATCTGTGGCAAACATAACCTTATTATTCAGTTCCAAGGAACTTGGGTTTAAATATTCAAAATGTCATCACGGCTATAATTGCAAGGCGTCAATGGCTTAGCAAAACGTATTTGTGTGGCATTAAAAAATGTCCCTCTGTGCCTTTTTAGAACTCTAGAGTAGGAGGCAGAAGCCCTGGCTTTCCTCCCTGCTGTGATTCTCACTTGCTGTGCGGTCCTAGGCAAGTGACCCAGCCTCTCTGTTTTAGTTTAATTATATGCAAAATGGGAAAATGAGGGAAAGTTCTTGTTATGGGTTGAATTATAGTCCCATTATATATATATTAATCCTCGGTACCTGCGCATGTGACCGTATTTAGAAATAGGGTCTTTGAGTGAAGATGAGGTCCTTAGGGTGGACCTACTCTGATATTGCCAACAACCATTGGGTGTTCGGAGAGGGGCACAGAACAGATTCTCCCTCTAACCCTCAGATGGCGCCAACCCTGCCTTCTAGCTCCCACAATTGCTAGACAATAGATTTCTATTGTTTAACCACCCAGCTCGCAGACCTTTGCTACGGCAGCTCTGGGACCCGCCTCCCGGAGTAGGATCTAATGAGCCGGCAGGTATAACATCACTTTGGGAGGAAAAAGAGTATAAAGTGGAGGATGCATGCAGGACACGGCTATTCTCAGCTACCACCTCTAGGGTGATTCAGGCGGGAGAACCTGGCAGAGTGAAGTCACTTCCTCAGGCTTTCCCTGCCCATCAAGGGATTGTTTAACTTTAGCCTCAAACACTGCTCTGAGTAGGCTACGTTATGAAATGAAAATGCAAGTCTGTCCACGTTCTATGACTCAGATGTTAAAAGCCCTGTGATTCTGGAGCCTTTCTGGGACGCGGGGCCATCCAGCAGGACGGCTGACAGACGCTCTGCCCTGGGTCCTCCTGCCCTTTCCCGCCGTTTCTGCACCTGAGCTCGGCCTGCTCTCAGGTGTGCAGGGCCCTGGTCCAGGGCCGGGTAGATGATTTCTCACTCTCGGCCACTGACTGACAGCTGCTCTATTGAAAGGACCGCTGGAGGGGGGCAGAGTTGCGCCCCAAAAGGTGTGAAGGCCTCTGAGGGGCACGGCTATTGGCACCTGCTGACACGGTACAAGCGACTACCATCTGATTACTCACGGAAATGTCAAGGTTTTCCATCTTGGATCTGGGGTTCTTCTTGATGGACATGATAAGTGACACAGCTCCATCCATGTTCATAGGGTTCAGGAAAAGCTGTGGGAAGGGGGGCGACACAGGCAGAGGCCGAGGTGGGGACAGGAGAGGCTGGCTCAGGGCCCAGCTCCCATTTCTTTGCATCAAATCGCAGTCTCTGTCCCACCCAGACGTCTCTGTAAGCACCTTCTCCCTGCCTGTCTTTTTGTCCGATCTTCCACCCACCCACCCACCTGGGGAATTGCTGCTCGAGCTACGCTCTGAGGCAGGAAGCAGTGAAGGCCAGGGGAGGACATCAGCCGGTGAGAGTCCTGCAGGCCCAGCACGGGCGTGAGCAAGGCCCTGGCAGGACCACGGAGATGAAAGGAGACCCCGAGGCCTTGGGAAAGCATGGGGTGAACTGAGGTTGGAGAAGCACACAGGGTTAGAGACCTGGATTTGCGCAGCAGGTGGCCACAGAAGGGGTCTAAGCCGCAGGGGAGTAGGTGTGTGTGTATGTGTGTGGGGGGGGAGGTGGTGGAATCATTTATGCTCCAGAGCCTGCAGGAGACCCACATGGGAGGAAGGGAGACCAGTTAGGGGATGACTCCTGTACGCGCACCAGCTGAGAGCAGCGGGGGATCCTGGGTTTGTAGCAGTGAGGCAGCCGAGAATATACGCACACGTGAGGCACCAGGCACATTTCACAGTGATTCTCCCGGGCATTATCCAGCCCCATCACCCTGCTGCACCCATCCCCACACACATGACACACGCACACCTACACACGATGCACTGATACATACCTGGATGCGCACCCATGGACGCACACACACAGACGCACACGCAAAACGACCCGTTCCCAGCCAGGTAAAGGCTCTACCTTCAGGGTTCGGAGGCACTCGTTGAACTCCAGTCCTTTGCTGAGTTTGATGATCCCTTCGTTGCCGATGTCATTGTTGCTGACATCTAGGTAGGCCAGGGAGCTGTTGGATTTGAGGACCTCCCCCAGGGCCGCAGCCCCCTCGTTCCCAAAGCCATTCATGGAGATATCTAGTGTCTTCAGGGTCACGTTGGACTCCAGGGAGGGGGAGAAGAGCACCGGTATCAAGGGGCATCTATCCCCGGTCGGCATCCAGGCTGGGGACTCAGTGGTCCCTGGAGGGAGGTCTCGGCCAGCTCTCCCCGACCTCCCAGCTGCACTCAGTCTCAAGAATACATTCCTGTTGGGTTCTGGTCATTCCCTACTCCATCATTAAACTGCTCCCTTGAAGTACTCCCAAAGATGCCACCTAGGCCCTAGCAGGGTGAATTCTCCTGGACAGGATTTATGCTAAAGAACAACGTGCACCCAGGAATTGTGGGAGGGAGGCCAACAATGGGAAGAGCTCAGTATATCCGCATCAGCGGCGACCATGAGGAAGAGTTCAAGATGGTGGGGCGGGGCGGGACCTCCCTCGCACCCCCACCCTCCCACCCTCACCCCCTCACCCTTCACCCCTCACCCCCGCTCAGCACACCACTCCCAGGGAGACCTTACCCGGAGACCGTTGCTCAAGGACACAGCTGCCCGTGAGCTTAAGTGATTCCAGCTCAGGTCCAGTGTCTGGAGCCCTACGTTGAGGGCTGGCGGGGGGGGGGGGGGGGA